ATGATTTAAAGGTGTATTTTAGGAAAATTAATATATATATTTGATAAATAGCTAATTTAACTAATTTTCTTAGTATCTATAAATTAGTTATCAAACTACTACAGCTCAGGACTGCAAAGAGTAATTAATTACACAAAATATTGCCACCTAATCACTAATAGATATTCCTTCCCTGTGTCAATATGAAGACATATCAAAAACTACAAAGAAAATAAATGTCAATAGATAATAAACGAATCTGGAAAATGTGGCAAATAGAAGATCTGTAAAAGTTAGATTCCTTTGTCACAGCCAAATCTCTGTATAGAACCCACTAGCTAGCTGGCCTCTGTTTCTCATCATCATATATGCCAATATGTTGATGAGGGATTAATTAAGCTTCCAACTTTTCTTATAGGCTCCCAGCATTATTACTATATTGGAGGTCGTTGAGGCGCCCTGAGGGACTCATTAATTAATGCAGAATAATTATTAGCAATACCATTAATTTTTTTTCCTCTGTACACATATTTGTATGACAATTATACCCTAGACAGTTATGAAATTATTAACATTGTTAAAGGGAGAACCACATTCTACCTGTTCATTTATCCAGAATGAAACTTATTTTATATCAAAATTCATAGAGAGAGCAACTGAGGGACTTATTGAAAGTAAAACCCTTAAATATAATTGAATAACTACCATGTAATATAAAACTAAGGACCTGTTTGGTTCAATCCCATTGCAATATGCAATGATAAAAAAAGATTGCTCTAGTAAATAGGATTGCACATTTTTTCGGTAATATCCATTTATAAGGGAGACCCTATGAATACTCATTAAGACTTGCAATTCTTTATAAAATGTCTATTTTATCCTCAATAACTTATATGAAAAGACAATATTTGCCCTTCAAAAATAAATCTCATTTATCCACAAATCCCTCGCGACGAGTTGCAACTTCATCTGATGAAACGTCCTCCTAATCCCTAATTGTCCCTTGCACGCTGGGTCTGTGTCCTTGCAATTCTTTACTCGGATGTTGTTCACATCAAATTATCGCTACCAAGAGAGCGTATTTCGTGTAATTCAGCTGTGTTCAATGGAGCCTACCTCCTAAATCAAGAACCTAAACCCTACTCTCTAAACCAAGCACAATTATGACTGAATTTCTATAGGTGAATGTCTGCAATTTGGATTTTAAAAACAATGTCATACGAAAATCTAAACTTTCTGCAAATATATTTTTTTGGGTTCCAATGCAATAGGCATTATGTTTCAGGAACTAATCATATCTAAATCGATTTAATTCAATAGCTTTCTTCAATACTCATTAATTTAATAAACACTAAGAACTTGGGGCGCTGAATAATGAAATCTTCAATCATGGCGTGCCACATCAGTATTGCACTATAGACTTGATGGAGGACCAAGACCTAGAGGAGAAACATAAGCGCCACAATTTAAAAACGAGGACGATGAGGAGAATCATAATGAGGACGAAATAGTCTTTCTATTATATATTAATTTTAAATTATTATTAAAATTAACTGATTGCACCTCTCTTGAAAAAAACATACCAAACGCCGTTATTGTAATTCATATTGCATTGCATTCCCATTGCATTGCACCTCACCTCACCTCAAGATCTAATGGGGTTAAACCAAACGGGGTCCTAAAGAAACATCATTAATAAACACTGCTCCCTCCTAGCCTTAATAATTTATGAGATAAATAATTAATTTGCAAAGATTAAAAAATTTAGTTAATTTAGTTGTCTTTAAAAAAACGTGTGTTAGTTTTCCTAAAATAATTTTTTCAATCATTTTGTATCGGAACCATACCTCTTAATAAGAATCACCTTAATATATGTGTATGTCCGATTAATATGGATAATTTAGAGAAAAATTTATACATTTAGAAGACAGTAAATTGAAGCTTTTACCCCAAAAAAAAAATTAAAGTCATATATTTAAAACCAAAACAAACCCTCTAAAAGGAAATAATTTCTTTGATGAAATTGAATAATCCATGTTAAGCCTCAACTTATAAGCATATTTGCAGCTAACTGTTAATTAACATGCACAAGTGTCATGCATTGCAGGTTTTTGCATACTAATTAAATAATCATTTTTAATTTGATGGGTCTTTAGGATTATAAAATAATTTAAACTTTGCTTGTGCAAAATTGAAAGGATCAATTTACAAATAATCTTTGGGGACTCTCACCTCCTTCGATTATAAAATATTTATAACTAACCTAATATCATGCATAATATTTATACACACTAAATGATCATTTACCATGTGGGCCTTTTGAGATTCACAATTTATAGATATAGCATAATATTTAATTTAAAAGTCTCAACAAGCAATAAATGATCCTTAGCTTTAGAGAATATTTCTCCCTAAATTTAATTTCCCCTTGCACAATGTACAACAAGGTCACCAACCTGTTCAAGTTAATTTTTCTGGATATTGGTATAAAGCTCTTCAAGACAAAGAACGAGAAAAGGGGGGGGGGGGAACTTCAAGCCTCTGTATATATGATCTCTAATTATTATTCCTTTTCTTTTTCCGAAGATAAAGACGAATCACAATCGATAATGGAGATCCCAAATCTGGAAAATGAGGAATCATACAATACTTGATTTGTAATTAATGAGCTGTTGATTGATTTTCAACAGAAAAAGAAAACTTTGGGAGCAATCCACAAATATTTGAACGAATGGCTGAATTAATATTTTAAATGTATTAATCAGTATTCATAATAATATTATTACTTATTACTCAATAGGGTTTTCCCCACCCTATTTTGGCCAAAATGTAGAGTTGTTTCTATATTTAGTTATATATTTATAAAATGTTTATATAATATAAAGAAAAATTCAATATTGCAATGAATCAAACCAATTAAATAAAGATCCTCCAATTCTAAAAATAATTCCAAAGTTGATTTATAATTTCCTGCCACGCCTTTGTTTTTCGAAAAAGGAAAAGACAGTATCTTATCCGTTTTGACAATCACGTATGTCTATATATATTTCAAGGAACAAGACACTAAGCCAGTAGTAGCAGTTTAAGGTTAATTGGTCAGATCAAAATCAATTCAGGATTAATAATATAATTTAATTAAAAATAACAAAATACAACAATATTAATCATTACTAATAACAAAATATAAAGAAATATAATAATAGTTTGATCGTAACAATAACAAAGTACAAAAACATTGAAAATTTTAATCTTTACAATTTATCAATAGCTAAAATTAATAATAATTGATACCAAAATCATGCTTAATTGAAAAACTTGAGATAATCATAGATAAAAAAACTTGATCATATATTCATATTTATATATTTCAAAAATAGCTTTACCCGGACAAAAATAGCTTTCTACGCCTACATTCTATATGTACATCGATTATAGAGCAATCAATGTAGAAAATATGATCAGGATATTTTTATAAATAAAATTTGTGAATTTTTATATTGGTTCAAAAATGAGTGTATTATTTTTTTTTTTTTAAGATAGTTTTATGGGTTGAATGGGTTGGCTCATTTAACCAACTTGATGAGTTAGCTAGGTTTTGATTTTCAACCCACCAAAAGATGAGTTAGAAGACTCAGCACAATTAACCCTACAAATTGTGAAAGGTCAGCCTGGTTATAAGTATCTTTAATGAAATCACATAAAAAATATTTTAATTTTTTTTGGGCAACAACAAACTATATTAATTTTATAATAGGAAGTCCATCTAATCTCTAAGACATACACACAGTCACATACACATTTACTCCCTCTAGTTCTTAATGTGAGAGTTATTTAATTTATTTTGGTAGATAAAAAATAAAATAAAATAATTAATTATAACAAATGTGAAGAGATGGTCTCCCTAAAATATTCTCATATAAAAAAAAAAGATAAATATAAGAAATAAAGCAGATTAAATTTTTATCTTATATTTAGAATTAAATTAACACTCAAATTAAGAACAGAAGGAAATGTAAATATATATATATATATATATATATATTCCCTCTATGATTCAGTGATAAGGACAAATCAATAAAACTAGAATTAAGCCAAATGCCACTAGATAAACGAATATAATATGGAAAATGAGGCAAATGTAGGATGATTCGAGACTTTGTAAGATATCATAGGATTAGATTCCTTCGTCATATCAATACCTCTATATAAAGCCCACAAGCCAATGTTATATTGAGAGATAACATTAATAAGAATACTAATAGTGGATTAATTAATAAGCTTTCAAGTTCTTTCAAGGGCTTCCAATATTATATTGGAAGCCTTTGAAAGAATTTGATGAGGAGCTTATATTTGGTTATATTTATTAGGAGATAGCCTCTGTTTCTCATCGCATTGTCAGAGAGAACAATAATCAATTACGAGTACAAATTAGAGGTGGGATTATTAAGCTTCTAAGCTCCTTCAAAGGCTTCCAATATTGTTATATTGAAAGCCTTTGATGGAACTAGTGGAGCTTACAAATGGTGTTTTCAAAAGTTAGATTGCTTTTGTTACTTTATTGTAAATACTACGTTAAAGTTAGCCATTATGTGACATTTTTCTGACCATTGAAGTATTATTGGGCATTATATATGAGCACTTCTTTTAACAAAAATTTGAATCCTAGTTTGACATGTTGTTAGGAATTACTCTTCCGGTCTAAATATAATATTTTTATACTAATATATATAAAAATCTTATATTAAGAATTAGAGGAGTAGTATTCTTCATGAAACTTAACGGGGTAAAAAAAGATCGAAGCTCTATTATTTGCGGATTGCCCCTAATCATAAGGACTGATAGACCTAAAGTTTTTGGCCCATAGTAGTGTTGCAGCGCAGTCCAGGCCCAATACAGAAAATTGGGATTCAAGCAGAATGACAATTGAGTCCTTCTGACCTTTTATTTTATTTTGGAAAATAATATTGAAGACCTGTTTAATAGGGGGCTTGGAATAAAAACCTAGTTTGATCTTTGTCGCTCTGATGAACTACACGAAACGCAGAAGCGGCCTTGAACTACTCGGAGAGGAGAGTTCAACGTGGTGTTGGCCGACGACGACGGGGAAGCCACCGAGGAAGTCGTTCGGGGAAGTTTTCGGTTCGCGAAGTCGGTTCACTCTTGCCGTTGACGCTTAAACCACAAGGTTCATGCTCTGTTCTTCTTGTCCTCCCTTTTCCTGTATCTACCGATATCACTAGGTTTCACTATTATTTTTAATTTTACGTTTTGTGTTGAATGCTGGGTTGAGTATGTAGGTAAAAGAGTTACTGTGCTGTGTATGGGAAAATCATAGTAAACTGAGTTTTTTTTTTTGTTTTGGCTTTTTTATTCCTCCTCCGCAAATGAAAGCCAAAATTTCTGTATGGTTTGTTTACTTATGTATATTTATCGTTTTAGACGTCGGTTTATTTTTATAAACATTTTATGTATCTGGTTTGCTCTTTTCGTTGCCCGCTATGATAATCTCCTCCATTGTATAAAAAAAAAAATGATAATCTCCTCCTAAGGTTTATGCTTCTTTTTACATATATAAAGAAATAAAGTCGGTTTGTCAAGTTTTTTTTGGCATTTCAAAATTCCGCAAGTATACTTGCGTATCCGTGGTAATTAACTTGGAAGGTTTATAATTTTTTTCTTCTGGAAAAATGGATTGATTCTATAATTTGATTTTTTTTATGCTTATAGATGTTTAATAAAATTTACATGTTTCTCCAAAATTACAGGTCACCAGGTAATTGTAGTTGTTTCGTCAACCATGGAGGAGAGTGCTAAGCACTCAAATAATGGTGATGGCAAGAAAGAGTAAGTTTCATCAACCACTGAGATTGATGGCATTGAAAACTGAAATTTATGAGTACTTAAATTTTTTGATTCCCTCACACATATATGGGGAAATGATTGGAGCTTTCTAGGGTTAATTTCTAGATTCTTTACTTTGATTTCAGGGACGCACCTCAGCTCTCTGCATTATTGAAAGAAATGAAAGAAGGACTTGATGCTGTAAGAAGAAAAATTCAATCTTTAACTGTCAAGGTATGGAAGCATCTGTATTGAGAAAAGAAGCTTATTTTTTAGTGCCTTTTTTCCTTGGATGCTTTTAATCTCTTTCACTTTATCACAAAATTGATAATGCTATCATTTTGGAGTGAACATATTCGTTCTTCCTCAACTTATTTTTCTTGGTACTTTTTCTACCTGTGCCCCTTTGTCATGTCTAAAGAAATGATTTGGTTCCTTGCCTCGTGTATCAGGTCAAACAAAAGGAATACCCTACTGCAGATGGATTTAGCTATCTTGAAGCTAAAAATTTGCTGCTCCTGAACTATTGTCAGTCCCTTGTCTATTATTTGCTCCGAAAGGCTAAAGGCTTCTCAATAGAAGAGCATCCTGTTGTGCGAAGTATTGTGGAGATAAGGTTATTTTTGGAAAAGGTTGGTTCAATTCTATCTCTTACACTTGAAGGTCATCTAGGGATAAATATTCTGGTTTTGACAAATTCCACATCCTCATCTACTGCAGATTCGGCCAATTGACAAAAAACAACAATACCAAATCCAAAAGTTAACAAAGGCTAGTGAGAATGTGAAGGGAAATGATATTCCAAGTGAGGAGCCAGTTGCACCCAATAAGAGTGAGGATGTATCAAAATATCGGCCAAACCCTGACATGCTTGTTAGCAAGTTAGACAACACATCGCAAGTGAGTGAATTCATTAATAGAGTTCAGTAATGGTGATATTATAAGAAGCTGGACATCCTGTTTTTTTCCTCTGACATAGTAACTTCATTCTTTAGGATGGTGATGCTGTGTATCGTCCTGTAAAAATTGCTCCTACTTCTATGGAGTTAGATAAAACGTCAAAGCAAGAACGAAATGCACTGAGAAGGGAAAAAGAGATTCTGAAGCAAGCTAAGCAGAGTGATTATATCAGGTCATTGATGAATGACATGGAGGATCGGCCTGAAGAGGTAACCTAATATTTTATTTTGAGGTTTGAATGATAATGATTCAATGAGTTTAGTTGCTGTATTGTTTTGGCTGCATATTGCACAGGTCAGAGATTTCATGGGAGCTAGCAGAGAAGTTGAAAACCATGTTGCCAGGATGGAGGAGCGTGCCCGGCAGGAGGAGGAGCTCTTCACTCGAGTTCCACTTTCAAAGATGGAAAGGAAAAGAGATAAATACTTGAAGAAATCAAGAAATGGGTATGAAAATTGCCTAGATTGCACTCTTATTATTGAAGCACACATAAAAATGTGTTGATTTTGTGAAGATATTTTTATTCAAGCATTTTCCCCCCTTATTGTTAACTGTCAATTTCAATGTTAATTGTTAACTACATTCCAGGTTGCAAGGTCTGACAGAGAGTTTCTTTGACGAAATCAAAACATTGCCCTTTGGAGATAAAAGTGGAGACCAAATCACGGTCTCTAGTAATGATGGTAGAAGGAAAGGTGGACTGAAAAAGCGAAAGGCATGCAACTTATACTTACTTTTTAAAACTCAATTTAATTGTTTCTTGATCCACGATTTATGCTTTATCTTTATTTGTTCATTCGTTGTCCCATCTGAATGGATTTAACAATGCTATAGCCTATATTTGTTTTTGGTTGTCTGAACATTCACCCCACCTTCTGTAATATTTTTGTTCTCTAGATGTCAGGGTGAGTCGATTGTCTCCTGTTATGGTCCTTTGAGAAGTATGTATGGAAACTCATTAGGCTTGGTCAAAATCACGTTTTGATTAGAGTCATGTTGGAGTAGTGTAGGGCTTGTTTAGATTAACCTTGGGAAAAGTGACTTTTATCTCAATTAACTTCTGCAAATTCAAGTTAGAGTAAAAATCAATTAATAATTATGCACTTTATATTTGTATAGGTTTTTGTAAACAATCAGTTAGACAGTAGCTTGTTTAAATGAAATACTGAAAAGTCAGTTTTAGAAAGTTAAAATCGAAGAAAAGTCAAAAGTCAGAAAAAATTGCTTCAAGTTCAAATTTGCTCTTGAGCGAAAAGTCAGTGCCATGCCAGACATCACCTCAAGTAGCTTTCTTTTTAAATCTCACGAGTCAGTTTGTAGCCTTCCAGTGGGATGCCGATTGCAAAAGTTGCCACTGGTTTCCAGCATTGAAACTTGATTAAACCTTATCAATTAGGGTTTGGGGATTGACATTTTTGGCTTCTTTGCAGAGGAGACATTGAAGCTTGTTTTCACCTCAAGGAAGTGGATGGCGTGCCTCTTGCCCATATTTCGCCTTACCATTTTGGATCATTTTGTTTCTCTGATGTATTCTTTCCTTTGTTAGTCAATAGAATTTGTTGGTGATATTTAGTCCTTGTCATCAAATTTTCAATATAATGTCTTCTTTATGATGTAATCTTTGATCAAATTCTTTTATCTCAAAATTCATTGATCATTGATTATCGGAGCTAATCCAATAGTATGATACAAAAATTTCTGAGGTGTTATTGCTTTTCCTAATTGCTAATTAAGCATGATTCTGCTTGGTCATTGAGATTGAACGAGTTTATGTTTTGAAGATGAAACCCGTCATTGATCTAGTGTAAGGTTTATTCGTATAATGTCGTCGTATATATAATAAATATAATGATAAAGCTAATACATTTTAGTTTTATTTATTAAAAAATTATATGTAAATTGAAGAAGTTATAACTGGTAAATTCTGTTAATATCTAGATTTAAATAATTTTCATCTACGATCACATATTGAACTCAAAATCATTTATTAAATTTTCATTAACTAAAGGGTTAATTAATCCGCAAGTTTTTATAGTTTTAATTAATTTTGAATCAGGTTTTATAGTTTTTTTTCCTTTTATCAGGTTCTTATACTTTTACTTTTTTTTATTTAGGTTCTTGTATTTATTTTTCTTTTAATTAAGTCCTTATAATTTCACTAAATTTTTAATCAAGTCTATGTAGTTTTAATTTTTATTTAATACTTAAATATAAGCTTAATTAAATAGATTAATACTGAAATAGAAAATATTAATAATTAAATTAAATTAATAATTATGTAATAAAAAAGGAAAATTTTTTAGAACAATTAATTTTTTTGCTGAAAAAATTAAAATCATTACAATAATTCAATATCTTTAGAATATTATTGTTTATAAACTAATATTAAATAATATATACTATTTTATGTTTATATAATAGTACTATTAGAATTTATAAAATAAAGAATAAAAAATTCAGGGACTTAATTAAAAATAAGGTGAACTTATAAGAACTTGATAAAAAGAAAAATAAATACAAAGACCTAATTAAAAACAGGTGAAAGTATAAGGACCTGATAAAAAGAAAAAAAATTATAAGGACCTGATTCAAAATTAGTTGAAACTATAAGGAGGTGTGGATAATTATCCCTTAACTAAATATATGACATTGGCTTTAATCCAATTTCGTTACGTATTTAGTTTCATTGAAAGGCGCCTGTGATACTTTGTACATTAATTTTTTAATGTGATTTAAACTCTTTAAAAACAGACGGAAAAAAAAAAAAGAAAGATGCATATGGGCATGTGGCCTGGGTATGATTATCCGTATAATGTACCGAAGCCCAAATGAATTGTGCGCGCGCGCGCATTATAATCAAAGGAAAATGAATTAGATGAAAATTTTGAGTTCAAAACAACAACAATAACAAGCCTTATCCCATTAGGTGGGGTCGGTTACATGAATCATACAACGTCATTGTGCTCTATCAACAACCCAGTCCTTAGATATGTTATTGACCAGGAGATCTCGTTTAATGATCTCATTAAGCATTCTTCCCAGTCTTCCTCTGCCCCTTTTCATAGGACTCCATATTGTCTGATCTAGCCTTCTCACCAAGGCCTCCAATGGCCTTTTTTGTACATGTCCAAACTATCTTAAGCGATTTTCAATCATTTTCTCTTGGATAGGTGTCACATCGACTCTTGCTCTGAAATTTTCATTTCGAATCCTATCTTTTCTTGTATGACCACACATCCATCTCAACATCCTCATTTCTGCTACCCCAACTTTGTGCTCTTGTTTTCCCTTTATTACCCAACATTCACTACCATACAACATAACTGGTCTTATAACAATCTGATAAAATTTTCCCTTAAGCTTCTCAAGTAGCTTCTTATCTCAAATAACTCAAATAGCCTTCCTCCACTTTAACCAGCCAGCTTGTATTCTATGAGAAATGTCTCCATCAATTTTTCCATCCTCATGTATAATGGATCCTAGGTATTTAAACTATGATACTTGAGGAATGATTTGATCCCCCATCTTCACCTCCAAATCCCCATTGCCTTGCCTTCCCTAAAATTACAATGCATATATTCTGTTTTGTTCCTACTTAAGCGGAAACTTTTCGACTCCAAAATCCTTCTCCATAACTCCGATCTAGTGTTAATCTCTTCTTTTATTCCACCATGAGAACTATGTCATCCGCGACGAACATGGACTTAGGGATTCTTTCTTGAATAGGTTAGGTTAGAACATCCAGAACAATATTAAACAAGTACGGACTCAAAGAAGATCCCTAATGTAGGCCAATCTTAATGGAAAAGTCCTTTGTCTCACCTCCAGACATTCTTACACTAGTAGTTACCCCCTTATACATATCTTGTATGGCTTTAATATAAGCAACCCGTACGCCTTTCTTTTCCAAAGCCTTCAACATTACTTCTCTTGGCACACGATCATAAGCTTTTTCCAAGTCAATAAAAACTATATGTAAATCCCTTCTTTTACTTCTATATCTTTCTATTAACCCTCTTAGTAAATAGATTCCTTCCGTTGTGGATCTCCGTGGCATAAATCCAAATTGGTTTTCCGAAATAGAAGTCTCCAACCTCAACCTCTATTACATCACTTTTTCCCACAACTTCATTGTATGACTCATAAGTTTTATCCCTCTGTAGCTTGCACAGTTTTGAATGTCTCCTTTATTCTTGTAAATAGGAACTAAAATGCTTTTCCTCCAATCATCCGGCATATTTTTAGAGCGTAAAATTTTAGTAAAAAGCTTAGTTAGCCATACCTCACCCTCATCGCCCAAACATTTCCAAACTTCAATAGGGATACCATCAGACCCAACGGCTTTACCATTGTCCATTTTCTTTAGAGCTACCTTAACCTCTCTGATACGGATCCTATGATAAAAAGTCAAATTCTGGTCATCTTCGTTGTCTTGAGTCGCATAATTGCTTTCCTCATTAAACAACTTGTAAAAGTAAGCCTCCCATCTATCATTAATATCACCATCAGTAACTAGCACTTTACCATCTTCATCCTTTATACACTTTACTTGGTCCAGATCTCTCTTTTTCCTCTCCCTTTGCTTCGCAATCTTGTAAATATTTCTTTTTCCCGTCTTTGTTCCTAACTCTTGATAAAACCCCTCATAAGCTTTAATACGTGCTTCACTCACTGCTCTCTTCGTCTCTTTTTAAGCCAACTGATACTTTTTCTGGTTTTCTATACTATTGCACAAATGTATAGCCTTAAAACAATCTCTTTTCTATCTGAGTTTCTCTTGCATACTCTTATCCCATCACCAAGTCTCCTTATCTCTCTGACCAGGACCTTTGGATTTTTTCAAAATTTGTTTAACTACCATACGAACCCTTATAGCTATCTCTTTCCACATTATGTTTGCATTTTCTTGCAACTCCCAAATCCCTTCCTCCAAAAAGGTCTTTTGAATAACTCCTGCTTCTCACCCTTTAACTGCCACCACTTAACCCTGGGTTTTACCACTTGATGGTACTTTTGCCTGGTACTCTTAAAACATACATCAATGATAAGTACTCTATATTGGGCAGTCACCCCATCTCCAAGAATCACTTTGCAATTAGTACACAATCTTCTGTCTAGATTCTTAACCAAAAAGAAATCAATCTATGATTTTGAGGCACTACTCTTGTACATGATTAAATGCTCCTCTCGCTTCTCAAAACAAGTATTGACAATCTTAAGATTGTATGCAAGAAAAAAGTCAAGAATATATTGTCTTCCACTATTAAGCTCCCCAAAACCAAAACCAAAACCATCATGAGCCCCGCCAAATTATCCTGCTTCCTTAACGACATATCCATTAAGATCCCCACCGATAAAATTTTTTTCTTCGAGTGGTGTGCTTTGAACCAACCCCTCCATATCTTTCCAAAACTTATCTTTAAGGTGTGCCTCTGCCCTAACCTGAGGTGCATAGATACTAATGATATTGATAGTATCCTTTCCAACAATTACTCTTAAAGATATTATTCTGTCCTCAACCCTTTTAACCTCTACCACATTTTTTTTTCCATGTTCCATCAGCGATGATACTAACACCATTCCTTGCACTCACCTTTCCTGTGTACCAAAGTTTATACTCTCCAAGTTCCTTGGCAACTTCTCCAGTCCATTTGGTTTCTTGGAGGCACAAGATATTAATCCTTCTGTCTCTCATAACTCGTACTACCTCCATAGATTTCTCATTCAGCATCCCAATATTCTAAGTATCAAATATAATCTTGGTCTCATGAACTAACTTCTTTAGCCACCTCCGTCCAAGAGAGTGCGGTAGCCCTCGCTTATTTAACACTACATTCGGACGACGATGCAACGGCTCTAGCTCACTTTTCACTGTACTCGAGCCATACAGCTCGTGACTTCTAAGCAACGATCTAGCATTAGCATAATTACTTTATTGATCCATGTTCATGAGATTCGACGGGTTTTTATGTTGGCTGTCGAGGACCTAACATAACCCTCCTCCTTTATCCAGGCTTGGAACCGGCTATACAATATAGGCAGAATTTTTGAATTCAAAAGAAATATTAAAAAAATAACATAAGAATATTAATCACAATTAGTAAAAAATTTGAGCTCTCTAAAATGTTAATATAAAAATTAATATGAAGATATTCATGATAAAATCATAAAAATGGTATTAAATTAAGATTAGCACCACACACACGAGAGGCAAGAATTATATTATTTAGAGCTGATTGAAAACAAGGATTTCATCATTTAGGTCCCCTTTATTTTACATTTTTAGTGAAAATATACTTATGCTTATTTTTGTAGAAAGAGTGCTTATAAAAATTTTATGATGTTTATATAAGTTTTTGAAAAAAAAAACTAAGAAAATAAGATAGGGAACATATGAAAATATTATAAAATTAAAAAATTATTAAATGTTATGAATATTATGTGGATGTTTATTTACTCCTTCCTCTTCAT